TTATAGACCCTGGCGGCTAATGCGGCGGCAGCAACTCTGGATTTTCCTGGGTCATACAGGAAACGTCTTCGCAACGAGTGCAGTCGTGACAAGGCTGCCGAAAAGTTCGAAGAACCAGTAGGTCGGTCTGCTTTCCAAGTGAGCGGTACAACAAAATGTACCCTGAAGTGTTCCATCCCTGCGGTCACCAATTCTACTCCTCGTCTCTCCTCCACCAATGGAGTTTTCCGAAGTGAATCAACGTCCGCAAAGTCGGCATCGTATAAAGCACCGAGTTGACCCTCCAATGATGGCTCCATTGACGACAGACGGCTGGCGGCGACCCCCACACGGTTACCTGGACCCAGTGGCCCGAGAATAACCCAACCCAGCGATGTGTTCACGGCAAATGGCTCTTTTCGACCTCCCAAACGCAGATCTAGCACCCAGTGAGCTTCCGAAACGTCACAGCCAATCAATATACCAACCGATTTAGACGGAATATCCTCAAAGGGCAATTCTTTTAGGTGAAGCAAGTGACTTGCAAGTTCTGAGCGTGAGTCCACAACTAATGATGGGAGGATTCCAGTTACTACAGAAGCACCTTTCACCAAAACAACCTTGTCACCGTGAAGTGGACTCCTCGAAACTTCCAGATTCTCCTACTGCTAGACAAGATCCATTGATTGTCTGTATTTCACGCGGCGTTCGATGACTCTCTATACCGAGTTGGTGCGGCAAGTTATGACATACGATGGTGGTATCGGACCCACTGTCTGAGAAGGCATACGTGATCAGTTCCGCCGAAGGTCTTTTTAGACGAACTGAGAGTACGTTTAGGGAAACAGCCACCTTGCGGTCAGCTATCGCATTGCTTTTGATTACAGGAACTAACTCTGCTTTTTATTCATTGGTTTCGGATGTAGCAGAGCGTGACGTTTGGCTTGGCATCTATCTACCTCACATCGATATTGTAGTTGGCAGTCCTTTGTTTTGTGGACGCCTTCAAGACACCAAAAACGGGCCTTAAGAGAGACCATAAGCTGGACCATCTTTTCACTGGCTCGAAAGACAGAAAGCGCTCGCGGTTGATGATACGGTGTTTACCACCACAGACCTTACAACCTGTCTCGCTCAACAGTAGAGCCTGATCTGAGCGAACGATCTAATGACTCCAAGCGGTTCTGCTCTTGCCCAGATCTGTAACAGATTGGCCAAGTAAACCTTGGCCCCTTTGCATAAGGTTCTGCTCTTGCCTGCATCTGTAGCAGCTTGGCTACGTACACTCTGGTCCCTTTGCGTAACGGATTCTGCTTGGCACTCTCGCCCTTTGTGTAAATAACTGTGCGAGGTCGGCGAAGTTTGGCTCTCCCCGATCATGAGTGACTTCGTAAACGAATTCCGCCCACTCATGTTGTAAAGTATTAAGCAAGCACCTCACTAACCTATCCAAATTCTCCAGGGAACTCGGTTCTGCACTTTAGTTCATCTGAGTCAGAGCTATTTCGCAACTCTCCATCTTGAAGGCCAACTGACTCAGATCCCTTGCCTTACACGAGGTAGAACGAAAACAATTAATGAGATCATCTACCAGGGCTCTAGCAACCACGAGACCTTCCGAAAGACCCGTGCAGAATTCGGCGGGCTCGTTCATATCCTTCCGCAGGCTGAAGCGTGAGGCAATCTTCGATAGCCTCCCTGGCTACACCGGAGCACGCGTTTATTAATTGTACGAGCCACTTTCTCTTGTCTTGGGTCTTGCTTTCGACATAAAGCCCGAATTGACGGATAGACCTCCAATAGCTCTTGGGTCGACCATCAAACTACATGAGGCCGATTTTGGTAACTCCAGGCCCTCTATGATGGATTCCAGATGAAGAAAGTCACCTAATCCATATGCTGTCGTTCTCCTACTCCGAGGCTATGTCGATTTTCAGAGTTCAACGGCGTTGCCATCTTTCTGCAATCTTCAACATAGTTTTTGATGCGACTTTTTGAGGACTCTAAAAAAACTGACCGGTTGCACTGCTCTAAGCCGTCATCGCTTCCAGCCGACGATGCTTCGAGATTAGCCAACTCCACCCCGGCTTTAGCCTTCAGGAGTTGTTTTTTATGGTTAATTTTCATTGCCTCTGAGTCAAGGTCGAGTTCCTCTCTAAGCTGTCTCTCTTTAAGCTGCGCTAACAATAAAGCAGCTTTGGACCCTGAACTCCCTAAACTAATCTTAGAAGCTCTACCAGCCTTGGAGCTCATCGCTGAAAACGAACCGTGTCCGACTTGCCTGACTTTCTTCTCAAATTCTTCTACTCGCTTTGAATTCACAGACTTTGACCTGGTGATTGGCATCCAAGAACCACGATCGTCAACGTTGAGTACTGTAACGACCGTTTCTAAAACTCTTAGAAAAGTGTATAGCTGTCCGAGGTTTTGGTACAAAAATAGTATAATCAAGGCGGCAAGAACGACTTGCGCGGTAAGGTAAGGAAAAAATATAGATATCTTATAAAACTGAAATAGAGTTCAATTTCACCAGTCCAAAAAGGGGCGGTCCATTTGAATTGCTAACCGGGAAGGCAGTCATTCAAGATTGGAGGTAATTTTAAATATATATGAAGCTGCATCACCGCCGGCCAAAATTCCTCCGACGGTCAGTAAGCGAACAGGTAAGTTATCAGGAGAGCTCTGGCCTACAATCATGAAACGTTAGCCACCGACCTGAATGGTCCGAGTCCACTCCTGCCACAAAGGCCGGTTTCAACGGTACACGCGCCTACCCACGATATCGCGCTGAACTAAAAGCCGGCTGTTCTGATACGTCTATCGGGAAGCATCCCTAAACCTGCATACTCCCTCGTTAGTCCTCCCCTTCCAGAAACATAGGCTCTTAACATCGCGCTTGATGACACCGGATCTAGTGCGGAGGGAAACTGTTCTGACGAGGCCGTCTGCATCCGTTTGACATTCGGTGACAATACCCAGCGGCCACCTTCCTCTAGAGAGATGTTCAGACACTACCATGACGACGTCACCCTCCCTGAGGTTTCTGTTCCGACTTAACCACTTATGGCGTAACTGAAGCGTTGGAATGTATTCTTTCATCCACCTGTTCCAGAAAACTTCCGATAAATAATTCACGTCGGGTGAGCCGCTCTTTCAAATCGCAATGCGATGGGATATCTGCGTTCGCTTCGCGTAGCAAGAGGTGATTCGGAGTCAGAGCCAATGCGTCACGGCAATCTGCACTCAAAGATGTCAAAGGCCGATCGTTTAGAATACGTTC